GCCAGCAAGCGCTGACCAGAGAGCAGAGCAAGTAAAAAAGACAGAGGCCCCTTTTGGAGGCTGGAAGGAAATGACACACAATGCTCTTGTTGCAGAGGTATGCTTCATCCGGCATGTCCACCTCCCTCGTGCGACCACTCAGCAGGCCCTGCCCTGCTCTACGAAGGACCTCGATAATGCCTATCGGAAGCGACCCGAGAATACAGAAGCTTCAGCAGAGTGTGCAAACAGCCCTTCAGCAGGGAGCTGGCACACGGTTGAAGACATCAATCATATCCTTCTCCATGAGGTTTCAGCCCTGTTTCCTGCAGCCACTAAGGGACGCACGGGCAACAGCCAGCGTCAGGCACAATGCAAGGCCATTTTTCATGCCTGGAGGGAGACTCTCACCCACCCTGACGGGGAGGGGGGCGCCACGCCTGCACTGCCCACGCGGGTGTACCACATGTGGCAAAGACGCAAAGACCTGGAAAAGTGCAAGCCCTTCAGCGCCCTAGGGATCATTCGTACTTGGAAGTGGATCGTCCTCTTTCTACATAACGGCAGGCGAAGTAGACAATATCACCAGCAGCAGCAAAAGGCCATTACTCTGGGCCACCTGCAGCAGGCGGAAAGAGCCGCTCAATCACACAACATAAAGCGCCTGTATGGAGCTGTCAAGCGTCTCATGCCCTGGAAGCACAAGCCACGCATTCTGTTCAGACATCCGGATGGCTCACCCATGTCATTACTGCAGGAACACAAAGCCTTGATTAAGCACTGCGAACAACTTTTTGCCTGTTGAGGTACCGGCTCGCACCGGAGAGGCGCTGACTTTGCCACTGCAAGCAACAGAATGGCAAGAACAGCTTCAGTGCACTCCGGTAGGCAAGGCCGTGCCTGCGGACTCCGCTCCGGCCACAGCTTGGAAGGCGTGCTCACATGTGATTGCTCCGTCACTCGCCAAAGCAGCAGGCACACTACAGCATGTGGACACGACACTGCCATCGGCTTGGAAAGATCCCCAACTTTGCTTTATCCCTAAACCTCAAAAGCCTCCTTCTTCTGCCTCGGCACGTCGCCCCATAGGATTGTTGCGACCTGACAGTAAAGCCCTGGCAGGACACATCAAAAACCTCACCCTCGAACAGCAGGTCCAAGCCTCGCGCGCTCTCCTCAATTTGCCTACTTACCATCCAGGGACACGACTGACGCACTTGCTAGAGTCAACGCTTGTATAAGGGAGATAAAGGCTAGCATGAAGGCACTAGGAGGCAACAGATTCGTTGTGAGGCAGCGCAAGGAGACTGGACAGACGCCCGCGGAAGCCGGAGGGTGCCTACTCTCAGTTGATCTCAGTCAAGCATTTGATAGAGTCAACAGGATCAAACTAGACGAAGCCCACAGTCACGGCCATCCACGAAGAGGCGGCGTACACAGTTAGAGATCGCTTTCAGCAGACGTCCATAGCCACCACGCAAGGTATCCGCCAAGGTTGTCGCCTGGCACCGGCCCTATGGGCCATACTCTCGTAGCAAGTCCTCTGGGACCTGACCACGCCCGAGGAGACACCTATGCAGCTTCCACTTACTCTCTATGCAGACGATCATCTGGGGCATTGGTTGTTGAAGACGACGGAGGACATCAAGAACATGGATGCCTTTATCGTGAAGCTTTTTAACACCCTGGAATCCTATGGGCTCAAGGTTAATCCGGAAAAATCTAGTCTAATTATTAGGGTTCAAGGATACAGGCTCAACAAACTCGTCCGCAGCCGAACGGTCATTGTGAAACAGCAGCCACATTGGAAAATACGGGACAGAGAAACGGAGTATCTGATTCCCATCTGCGACACAATCACCTACCTTGGTACCAAGCTATCCCTTGAGGAAGGTTCTGACCAGACGTTGGACTTCCGAATCACGGAAGCTGCACCCAAGGTAACGGCGCTGCGGAAGAGTGTCAGAGCTAGACAAGGCTTCTCCCGTCATCATAGGGTTCGTGTATGGCAGACTTGTGTAGTCAGCAGTGCCATGTACGGCCTCCTCACTACACAATTCAATGGGCATATGGTCTCTAAACTCAGAGCCTGGTTCCACTGTCAGCTACGAGCTGTAGTCAACATGCCAGCACACCTGACAAAAATCAGCAATAGTGAGGTCCGAGCGCAATTTGGACTGGAAGATCCTATACAGATGCTTCTTGCTAGAATTGAGAGGAAGATAAATCAACTACAGTCGGACGCCAGCGATCCTGCCACCAAGGGCCCAGGTATTCTCTCCTTCCGGCAAGACCTACATCACAACCTGCAGCAGGCCGACACCCAGGCCACGAGTGCCCAAATTATAGCAGCCCCGAGCCATGGACAGCATGCGTGCCCCACATGCGGACTTTATTATTCTACAAAAAAGGCGCTCAGGCAACACCAGGCACTCAGCGACGGGCAAATTCAAGCTGACCGTGTCAACATTGAGTATAAGCCGGAACAACATTCCATCGGGGGTATGCCGCAATGTAGACATTGCAAAAGAACGCTGTACAATTGGTCGGCCCTCCAGGGCCACATTACATTAAATGTATGTAATTGGCATCCGCGTAAGGCAGAGACAACACCACATGCGCATGCCCAGGCGACACCCGCTCTAATTCCGGTTCCCCTTGTCGAAGCTTCACAGCCCGAGCCCGCTCCAACTCAGGTTCCGCCGCAGCCGACATCGGACGAGCGGCGCTCCGCTTCCGACGAAGACAGCGTACCACTCCTGAAACAGGACAAGGTCTCCAGACACCTGCAGCAGCATGAAGGGGTCCTCACACAGGCCGATCTGCACCAAGCGCATCTTAGACAACACTGCGGCTTCTGCGGAAGATGGATCGCCGAAGGGGGGATGATCAAGACCCATATTCTGCGGGTGCGTAAGGAGCTTGCTGAATTTCTCACCGCTGACTTTCATAAGGCACGCGCAGAGTTTAAATACTTGCTGAAACGTAATCAGAACTGTCGATGGTGTGGTAGACTAGTGCACGGAACTGACAGACACAGCTCGCAATGCCCGGCCCTTTTTCAGCTGTTACTGGCCAAAATACACCGGCGTGCTGCCTCCAACTCGCAGGAAACTGGTCTACCGCAGACATGGCCCATGTCGTGCCCGGCTGTAGACATATCTGCCTGCCTTGCTGATCCACTTGTTGATGATAACCATGCTAAGCTGAAAGACATGGCCCTAGTGGCAAAAACTAAGTGCCTACTTTGTGGTGAACCGGTGCAGGACATACAGGCTTGGCGCAGGCGCATCAAGCAAAAGCACGCGCCTCAGCATGAGCTTGCGCGGGGGATCGCTGACTCTGCAACTATCCTGAAAGCAAGCATCACCAGGCCATGTCCGTAGAGTGCACTTCCAGAAATCGGCCCGAGAGCATAGGAAGAAGTGCCTGCCCTTGTTGCAGCTCGGCCTACGACATGACACCATCACCCACGATTATGGAGACGACGCCAGAGCAGCAGCTGGCGGCGGTTTGGTCTCTGAGCTCTCCAATGGCCTCGACGGCGCCTACTCTACCAAGACAAGGACAGCCGAACAAGCAGCGGACGCCAGGCACAGCAGAACAAGTTCCGCAAGGGCGTGGGAAAAGGAGCCGGAAAGGCGATGCCATACGCAAAGAGGACACGCGAGCAGGAGGAAGAGGAGGAGCTATGGATGGATTCGGAGCTCGACGAAGCGACAATCCGCCGGACTCTGCGCACACTGGTCAGAGCGGCAGCCAGGCACGAACAACAGTTGACATCCTTGGAAGCAGACAGGAGCTACGTCCTGTTCCTGGAAACCGGCAACCACGGCATGATCAGCGTGCTGATTCAAGCCAGCCAGGCATGGCGCCAGCAGTACGAGGCAGGCACGGTGACAACGACATTGCGAGCCACTCTATGAAAAGTTCTTCTACTCGAATGGCAAGCCAGGCTCACCAAGATCGAGACAGACACCCAGGCCCTCCAAACAGCGGAGGCGGCCAACTGGATTTCGCGGACTCCGCTCCAGTGGGTGTACACGGAATGGAATGCGGAGCAGAAGAAAGCCCTGCCATCAAGCATGGACAACCTCTCTCACGAGCAGGTCAAGCAAGCCGTGGCCAACCTGCTGAGGAACACGGCAAAGGACGGCGTAGTGCATCGGCTCCAAAGCCTCAAGCCACTGCGCCCAGATCTGCAGGCAGACGTCGTGGTGATGCTCCTGACCCTGACCATCCATCAACATGCGGCGGAAGTCTATCGGGACCTGGACCTGCTAGCCAACAACTGCGCGGGAAAGGTGATAGGACTTCGGCTGCGCAAAGAAAGGGTCAACAAAACGTCCCTGGTGAAGGAGCTGGAAAAACTGCAGCTCTGAGTAGGCAGCGGACTCCTCTTCACCAGTCGGGCTCAACAAATGAGAAGCAGAGGGAAATGCGGTCTCCGCTGCCCACGAGCATCACAGGCAATGGCGATACTGCTCAATGCAGTATCTCCTCCTTCTTTCAGGGGCGAGGCTCGGTTCGGACACAGGCGGCAACCTCATCTCACCAAACTCACTCTGACGGTTGTAGACGCGCTAAAGATAATGAGGAAGATAAATCTGTGCGGAACGGAGCCTCCACTCAACAGGGGATCCATCACACGCATAGAGTAGCAGGTGACAATCCTAATCTGCAGTTTCTACCTCCTGCTGATAAGGTACGCGATCCTGCGTGCACAGTCGTAACCAGGGGACCGCGAAAAAATGGCTCGTTGCTGTCATGGAGGGCTATGGACAACAAATCCAGTGAGCCGAGGGCGTATGCGCTAGCTTTTGTTAATCCGCATAACATCTGCTACGCAAATGCTGTCCTGCGCATGCTTCACCAGGCTAGGTCCCGTGAGGGCTTGATAACCGGCCTTGGTGACTTGAATGGCTCACTCATGCAGGCCAGGCAGTCAACATTGCCAGGGACCCAGCATGGTCATTCGTGTGGCCAGGGTGGCAGCGGCCAACTCGCCAGCATGATGCAGCCGAGTTCCTGCAACACCTTTGTCAGCGCACGGCATGCGCAGCCCTGCAGGGAGGATGGGAGGCCAGAAGGCACGGGGAGGGTGCATATGCGGTACTTGATGAACAGTTCACATGCCCTCACATCAGGTTACCGATGAACCGACCCTTCCGAATCCAAGAGGCCATCCAGCAGTGGCATGACCAAGATGGTGTACATGCATTCACGCTACTTCCGGAACTATTGATCCTGCAGGTCAGCCGCTTTATGCACACTGACAGGGGCATCAGGAAGACCCGACAGTCGTTTCAGCTACAATGCAGGATAAACATTCCTCACTTCGTGGATCATGCTGGAAGTGTTGAACACGCTACATATCATCTGCGCGGAGGGGTCCTTCATGTGGGACAGGTAGTCAATGCCGGCCACTATCAAGCGTTCTACTTCCCAGGGACGATCAGAACTTTTGGCAAACACTTTTGATGCATGATGATGGCCAGGCTGCACAGAGAGGCAACGAGGCCACCAGGCAAGCCATACAAACCAATTGCTACCTCCTTGCATACGTCAGGGCATAGCAACGCACCAGGGCTAGTGGTTACTCCGCTCCCCAAATTGGCCTCCTCGCTCCGGGCTGGAAGGTTCATTGGCACTTGTTCGGTTACTCATTTGAACTGCCATCAGCCAAAACTGCGGCCACGGCCAGTAGTAGCCCTGGCATTTCAAATCATTGAACTGGACCAACGCACTTAACCACACAGCCATGGCTACCACCGCCTCCTCCTCCATCTGGCCTGAAGCCATGACACAAGTGGCAGCCGTGTGTCCAGACACTGCGCCAGTGGCCATCACAGGGAAAAGAATACAGCGGTACAAGACTACCCTGGATTTGCCGCTACGCCGCTTCTTTCGTAAGCAGGGCCTGGCATCCGGGGCATTCTCATACCGTGTAAGGGCCCTATGGAAGGAGGTGCTCGATGGGTCGTTGTATGAGAACGACCTCACCCTGGCTCTTTTTCGCACCGTCCGTACAGACCTTGAGGTATCCACACTCATCCGAGCTCACACATCCTTGTTACTTCGGACTCGGAGTCTGAGCAAGAGTGCGAGGAGCCCACATCGAGCACGCAGACGCCCAGGGTAGCCAAACGCCGCCGTGACTGAGTGCCTACGTCCAGTTCCACCCATGAGTGATGCGTGCGAACACAGGGCTGACATCATTTTTTAAACGGCAGCGTTTGAGGTCTCCTCGCGCTTGCTGAAGATGTCTCAGCGATGTGTGCCACTCTTTAAAGCTTTTTAATTTCAATCCAGCTTCAAATATGGTGTCTGAGGTCTCCTCACACCAGCTGAGGAGGCCCGCGAAACAGCCGGCTCTCATGTCCTATGTGCTGTACTGCTTTCTTTCTGTAATCTCATCGTCCCAGCCTGACGCATATGCTGTCGGGCTCCTCGGAGCACAGCTCCGCGGCTGCAAAGGCAGCTTAACGTTATGTTGTCGGGCTCCTCGGAGCACAGCATGACGTTTGCCTCACCGGCGAGCCCTCATCTGAGGGGTGACAAGGTTCACACTCGCCCGCGTGACAACTGACTCAGTTGATGCGATTGAATGACAAAACGACGGGCCAAGTCGTGGCGATTTCTCCGTTGTGGAGAAGCTGGGTGGTCACCGTGTGCAGCTTCCCGTGGGAGCAATTGAGGCGGCGCTAGGCCTTTAGCTCTAATATGGGGTGTGGCGTGAGAGGCTCTATCAAGGGGGCCATGTGTCTCACGCTTCGTAAGCGACAGATCCGCCAAGGATCAGCTGCCGTGCAGCCTGACTGCTACCCCACCTTTGACCGCTAGAGGTAAACAGTGAGAGCCCGTGACTTTGTACTTTGGGAGTTATTCAGCGTAGCAATAAGCTTCCCTCACGCGTGCGTGATTGAGCTTTATTGAAAGCTGAATGACGTAGGCAACGTTTGCCAACAGGCTCGTAGCCTAGAAACGAATGTTTTGCAAAGTGTTGCCGTGCAAACATGTTATGCCGAAGTCATCTCAGATCTCAAGTGCGTAGTTTTTGTGCCCACCCTCCACACCCTGGAATTCCGGCGCATAGGTGCCTGTTGAGCCACGTAGGCTACATGGACTCTCCATGTTTGCGTAGAGTGCGTAGCTTGTTATTGGCAGTGCCCTGCCTGCGTAGCTTGTGCTTGTACCGTTTTGGACCCTAGTAGACCTCGTAGAAAGACACACCCTAAAGGGGGGCATGTGTCTCACGCTTCGAAAGCGCCAGATCCGCCAAGGATCAGCTGCCGTGCAGCCTGACTTCTACCCCACCTTTGACCGCTAGAGGTAAAAAGTGAGAGTCCGTGACTTTTTACTTTGGGAGTTATTAAGCGTAGTAATAAACACATTTTGGTTGAACCAGAACATGACAAAGTTGTCAACGTAATATGTTGGCTCAAGTCTGCAAGCAGAGCAGAAAAATCAACGCGACGGCAAGATCAGAATCCATCACGCCGCAAGGGTTGGACTTCATTTGTGCCGGGCTTGTTTTCAGATTGCGGGAACGGGCTATGTTGGGTTGTGCATCTAGGCCCATGCTTAAAACAATTGACCTGCGCAAAGCACACAAACAGCTGGGATTAAGCGACGACGGTCGCCTCGATGCATACATTGCCGTAGCAAACCCAACCTTGAAAAGAGCCGAGCTATATGCTTGTTCCGTCCTCCCTTTCGGTGCCAGCGCATCAGTTGGTGCCTTTTGTCGCACGTCGCGTGCGCTTTGGCATATAGCAGTAGTATTGCTATGGTTCCATTGGCCAACTTATTGCGATGACTTTTTTCCCGTCTCGGAAGAACAATCAGCAAAGCACATGGACATGTGTGTTGGATCTTTCTTTGCAGTGCTAGGATGGGAAATTTCTAGCAACAAAGAGTAGAACTTCGATTTCTTTGCAAAAGTTTTGGGTGTGAAAATCTGTGTGAAGTCTGCCACACTTTCTGAGGTTGTCAACACCCCAGAACGGCGCACGGAGCTTGTTGATTCAATTAACGATATCCTGAGCGCATCATCTTGCGCGCGGAAGCATCTTGCATCCCTCAAGGGTCGTCTTCAATTCGCTGAAGGGCAAATCTTCGGGAGGCGCAGTTTCATGCGCGTGAAGCTGATCGGAGAGCGCGCCCTTGGTGAGGGGAAAGCCGACGTGGACCAAGCCCATGACTCGCTTGCGTATATGCGCGACAGAGTGATTAATGGTCCGCCTCGTCAGATCATGACCAGGCTCGCTAACACTTGGTTCTTGTACACCGACGCGTGCTATGAAGCAAACCACCCTAATTGGGTCGCCGGTCTTGGTGGGGTCTTAGTTGGTTGGGGCGGCAAGCCAGTTTCCTTTCTCAGCTTCAAATGCACCGAACGCATACTGCAGCTGATCAACAAAGCGCCTGATGAACCTTATCTACTTGCTTGAGGGCCTTGCAGTTATCGTCGTTCATCGACAACGAGGGCGATGCATTCTGCCCCATTCTGTGTGCCCTCACCAACTCGGAGGATGGAAATCAAACGCGTCCTTGTTACGATTTCGTACCGTCGGAGGCGAACATCGCCGACCCTCCCCCGCGGGGAGACTACAAGTCCCTTGTGGGTGTTTCTAGGGTTGCGTGATGTCCTCCTTCCTTCCTCTGCCCTCTTCTACTAGGGTTCTAGGGTTTAGACACTTTCCCCCCTTTTCCTTAGAGAGCAGGTGGCTGTGGGG